GTGGCCTTACAAGCTCATAAAATGGCAATTCTTAACGTATTCCTCAAATAGTGGGAATGTTTTCTATTACTTAATTGACAAAATTTAAACTTTGATACATAGTAGTTAATCACATACTTCTTCAATTCTTGTATAAGCAATATTCTTTAGGTCTTCACGAGGAAATGACCCATGTAGTCATAAACATGCTATTCTAAAAGCTTAATCTTGATAAGTTTGTCAATAGTTTAATTAACTTTTGTATAGTCCAATATACCAAACGTTTCACTCGCACATCTCTAATTGGCATATCTATGGCGCCTAAACGTCTCCTACCAACATATTGTTTTGAGTGTCTTAACCTTATGGAGTAACTAAAAAAGAATGACATCCTATAAAATTATGAACGTTGCCTTAAGTATGGTCTTAACATAATGGTATCATAGTGCAGTAAGTGTTAGATTTTATTGAAACTTCAAATCTCAAGAACCTGAAGACCTAATTACCTTATTGTCAAGATCCTCTAGTTAAATCACCAAGAGAATTATTAAATGTGGAATATACCTTAATACATTGGGAATAATTCTTTATCACTTGATCTTGATTTCAGATCTTGAATTGGGCGTTCTTAATTATGATTTCTTGATTTTATTGTTTGATTGTTTCAATCCTTCATCTTAATTCTTGATTGATTGTTCTTGATTATGGATTTGGATCTTCCTTTTCAATATGTATTTTCTTGTATTCTTGTGTTTATGGGATGACACAAATAATAAGAATCACATATTAATTGGGGACCATAACCTTATTTATATTTTCATATGTATTCGATCCATAATCAAATACAACATTAATGGATCCAGTCTCAACACATATTTAAGGGCAACTTATAAAAATACCCATAAAATCAAAGATCTTTTGAAAAAGGAAAAAGCTACATGTACTACACCATACTCTCAAATTGTTTACTTCCTGCGACTTGGCACTCTCCTAGTAAATAAAAAAAGGGCAGCTGACCCTGCAAGTCTGCAACCCAAAATCATGTGATAATCTCCTTTTTGAATAACATTTCACCTTTTACTCAATATCACATTTCACATAGCCAATAAACTCTCTTCTGCTAGTTATAGTTAAAGACAGGTGCCACAATTTTAAAAGGATGAGAATATGAATAACAAGTAGATTTGAGCCTAATAGCCTGTTTATGCCTTGTAAGCTCACTCAAATCGGCCAAATGGAATCAACTGATGAACCAATGAAGACCAGAAACTGTAACGAAGATTTGAGAATTGGAATTTGCACTTTTCACTTTTGCAGCACTCTGAAATCGGGATGAAGAGCAGAAATTGGCACTTTGAAATTGCAGCAAAAAATTTAATGGAAGTAAAACAAAAATGTAAAAATCAATTCACCTCAATGCTGAAATGCTCAAAAATTGTATCCAACCATCAGTTCTTCGAGATTGAAATGGAAGTAATGGGATACANAAGTAATGGGATACATAAATAATTGTAAAAGCAATCTCGACCAAAATTGAAAATTGGCCAAATAGTCTCTTTAGTATATGCTAAATATTTCTTAGCCTTTGAGCATTTGTCAGTGATATAATTATTACTTGATATGTTGTATCATACTCCCTTTTAATTCCTTAATATTCTTTGTTTGACGTTTAGTTCGATTCACAAGAAGAAAAACTCCATCTTTCTCAGTCAAAAAGAAAGAACAAATTATCATTTTAAACAAGAATATGTTAAAATACATGCATAGCTTTAAGAACATTTACAGTAAACAATCAGTCTTAAATTTACAGTAAACGATCACCCGTAGTCTAGCTCTTTTGGTGCTTTTGTTGCTACTGCCTATCACGTTCACTAGCCTCTGCACCTCACCGCAACAACCATCACCACCTCCACCTCCAACCCACCCCACGCCACGCCACACCACACCCAAGCCCCTCCAATTAAGTTGCCCACTTCACAACACAGTAAACAATCAGTCCTTCACCACCAGTTGAGCTTCCTACTTCTAGCTATCTAATGAAGATTAAATTGAAAACATCTTACCCATGATGTCACCGGCGTCGTAGTTGTCGGCATGGGAGTTGCCGGCTTCCCCTTCATCTCCGTCTCCGTAACAGAATGTCTCAGTGTCAGCATGTGGGGGGAAAATAACGGGTTCGCCGACTTCGACGACGTGTGGTCGCCCTCGTCCAAGACGGCGGCGACGTCGATTGAGTTTCTTGCCGCTCCATCTTCGCCAGGAGGTTTTTCACTAATAATATAGAAAAGTGAGATAAAATTCTAAAAACTATAAGATATCACCAATATGAACAACAACAATACTTAATTTGGTTACAAGAAAATACTGAACTAAGATTCCCAGAATTAGTTCTAAAAACCTACAATCCAAACGGAAGAATTGTAAGATATAACCCTGAATAATCTAACAATTAAAAGATACAGGGCATATTTTGCAAATAAAGAAAATAAGAACAAAACAGTATTTTAATAGAAGCTAATTTTATATTATTAAGACCCCTATGACTATTTGGGAATCTTCTGACAATTTTCTTCTGGTAGTATAGCTTAACTCTTAGGGTCCGTTTGATTGTAATGGTGAAAAATGGGTGGAAAGAAAATGTTTTACAGGGAATCGATTTTCTTAGAAAATGTTTTATTGGGAATTGTAATTAATTGTGTTTGATTTGTATAATTTTCCATGGAAAATGTTGAAAATTTGGTGTCCATTTGACTTCGTTTTTTATGGAATTTGTCCATTAAAATGATAATTTTTTCTACTATTGAGTCTAAATTTGTTCACATTGTCAAAAAAAAATTTTGAAAAAAAATAAGTAAAAGTAGGAAAATATTTTCCTACTTCAGTGAAAAACTTCGCCAATCAAACGGAACCTTATTAGCTAACAAAAAAAAATGAATGCACGTCTTACAGAAATGTACACAGACAATATTGACGTTAATGCTGCTCATAGAAGTGAAAGTTCCACTTTGATGAAGTACCTTCTCACTGATTCGACATGTTATACATATTCATAAGATTAAACACAGATTTTGCATCAAGTTTGAATTCATGCGCAATTTCAAAATTACATTTGAAATTATTTATTTTATTATGAGTATATGTGATTTTTTCCCGTTTGTTAATTAGTTTCTCATTCATAGTTATTCATGAAATTCTAGGGTACATAATTACATCACAATTGATCCCTATCGGCTATAAGAAGGGAAAAAAAAAATTACCCTAAAAATTGTAATTCAATTTATAAAACAAGCCAATAAAAAATTTATCAACAAAATTAAGCCCTTGTTTGGTAGAAATTAAAATAAAATTTTTAGTAGATTTTGATAAAAGTTGATAAGATGTGTGGTTGAAAATTGTGAGTTTTATAAAATGTGTGGTTAAAATTAATTGTTAACTTTTACTAAAGATTTTAATTAAATTTAATTCAAACCAAATGGGGCTAAATAATGTAAAACAGTAAATCCGAATCATTAATTATCCGACCAATTCAATTGACTCGAACCACCGAATCATTCATTGACGACACAGTACGTCCGGAACCCTCCGACCTGCCGAGTCGACCCACCACCATTCTTCAATCCGCCCATGCCTCTCAATTGCGCGGCGGCGAGTCCATGACCACTTTAATTGATACCGGAGTCGCCGCCAAATAACTCAACGAGAAATTTCGGTACATACGATCCTCTTCTATTTGACCGTTTTGTCCCGGTCCGTCGTCAAGATTCAAAGCGTAACTCACTGGGTCGTAATTGAATTTCCCCGGCGAATAAATGTCTTCCACTTCGGACTGGCCACAAGCTCCGACCATTCCCTCGTTTTCTTGAATGCTTTCATACCTTTCCTCCACCAACTACTTTCCTGCGCTGCCTCTCTTTCGTTATCCGCCGTCGGAATCCGCTCCCATACGAAGGCGCCGTTGGATGGGCGGCAGCAGAAACACGGTATGATCCACAAAGAACAGAAAATTCTACTGGAGAATGCTGGTTCATGTAAATCATCGTTCAAATTCGTTTCTTTAGATGATAATTTGTGGGAAGCTTGTGATTGTAATGCCGTGATTGAATCTTTCTTGATCAGAAGCATGTTTCCACCACGTTATACTTTCTGCAAGTCCCTCTCTCTAAACTCTATATATATGTATGTATTAGTGTTTTCATTCTCACAGTATAGCACAATTTTTGATAAGGAGAATGGTGATGACTAATAATTATAACGATCTAACGGATATATTGCTGGCCAACGAGTAACGTGAACCGCTAAATGCCGGTATCATGGAGAAGCGGCTTAGGAATGTCTTTAACGGAAACAACTATAAAATACAGCTGGAGCCAACAAGTAGCCGGTTGGCAAATTAAACAAGATTTAATGAGTTACGTGGCTCGTGCTTATTGGTTGAAGGATTTGTAAAGATACTATAAACTTGTAATTGATTAGGAGCTTCCCCTATAATTAACCTACTTGATCCGGTCATTGACTCGACCATAGCATCTAATCAACGAGTCCCTTTTTTAAAAGAAAAAAGAGGCATAAATACAATCTATATAAGCCTCTGTTTGGTATCCATTCTTTTTTTCATTCTCATTCTTCTACTAATTTTCAACCACACATTCATCAATAAAATAATATTTTCCATCACATAACTTTTCCTTCATTTTCAACCACAAAAAATGTGTGATTTGACACAAAGAATGCATTTTTTTCTAAAATAATGGTTACCAAACGATGCCTAAGTATAAAAGCGGAGGTTGATCCTAATTTAAAAATTCATTTAGTTCTGAAATATTATTAACCCTTAGTGTTTCTACTTTTCTAAAAATTAAAGCCAATATCATTACGAGTTTAATTATATCTTTATTATTCCCATCTCTGTCAAATAAAAAGTGATTAGGGTCCTGTTTGGGAGGGATTAAATTTTTCTACAGTAAATCAATTCTCATTTTCAACCACGCATTCTTCAATAAAATAATATTTGCCATCAAATCAATAATTTTTTCTTCTTTTTCAACCACACATTTCCCATCATATCACTATTCAAAATCAATTCTTCCCCCAAAAATTCCTACCAACCAAGCACTAAGTAACTTGACTTCTAACTAAAGAAAATAAAATCATACTC